TTTCCTTAAAATTCTAGGAAAGTGAAATTATTTAGTGTTAGGATTCGAAGAAAAAAAGGAGGGGAAAGTGATATAATTTTCTATCACAAACGTGATTTAATTTTCTACCACAAACCACACATTTCTTCAAACACTGCTTGTAAAGATGGATCAAAATTGAGAAAATCGAGCTCTTTGCAATTACTAAATGGACCAATCTTCCTCAGCCTTTCTCTATCCAATTCATTGACTTTTCAAATTTATTGTGGTTCCAGAACGATCGTTGTGACCTTATGTCCTTATTGCTAATACACGTAAAGCTGGACTTTTTCAAGTGATGCCACTGGGAACTGCTCACTTTTGTGAGCTGAGCTGATCGCGGACATTCGAATGCAGGCGACAGGCCCCCGTGACAGGCCGGCCTACGAACACCCACGTCACATCACAAATGTTCATGTCGCTATATGAATCTCGAGATAATGCTACGGCGTCCGCGGGAGCCGACGCGCACTCGCAAAGCCCGGCGAGTGTGAAAAGTATGCGAGGGTCTCCGGTGCAAGGACGGCATCGGGGGGCAACTAGGCTAGTCCAAAAGTCCCGCAACGTATGGAAGACTCGCGTTGCAACACCAATGTTGGCACATTGATAGGCCGCTCGTGCGAGTTGGTGGAAGCGAGGACGAACTGATTTCTGTTCTGTGCAGATGGGCGGTCTTGCAGTCAGTCGGGAAGCATTGGCCGCGGCTACGAAACCGTTTTTGTTTTAGTCCCAGGTTTCATCAGAGAACGCGCTCGATTACGGGTCACGAAGCCGATGGCGAACGAATTCTTGAATATGCAAACTCGCACAATCTCACCATCGTGAACACAAACTATCGCAAACGTGACTCACACCTCATCACGTTCTACAGCGGTAATACCAGAACGCAGATTGATTTCGTCCTCGTCAGGCAGCGTGATCGAGGGCTAGTGAAGGACGTGAAGGCAGTGCAATAGAGTCACTGATTTGCATCTCGAAAATCACCCCTACGAAGATTAATAAAGCCGACCGGGTGTCTGCAAGAGTGGTGTCGACTGAAGGAAAGGAACCTACTCTGTTCTGTTGCAATGCGATAGCTCGTGTAGCTCCTTCCAAATTGGCGTTACGAAGCCTGGACAGCGAAAAATTGACAACGCAGGCATGGCTGTGGACCGACACTGTCAAAGAAAAACTACGGGAGAAGAAAAGACTATCATATGTTCCTCGGCAACAATGACAACGACAACTGGGATAACTACCAGAACGCAAAAAAATCTGCAAAGAAGGCCAAGGCTGCTGCCACGATGGTGTCGCGAAAGCCCTAGAGGCGTGATGGCGAGCGATATATTCACAAGCTAGCCAAGGCCCGTCAGATATCGAGAAGCTCTCCGGCATCAGTAGTATCAGCAGAATAAACGCCGCTTAACAGAGCGCAAAAGAGCAGAGAAGCTGTGGTAGGGCTACTTGGAGGAAACCTCGAAGGTAGAGTACACCGGCTATCCTTTCTGCACCTCCGGTTTACAGTCTTGGCCTGAAAATAACAGCGGAGGAGACAGAATCGGCCTTGAAGAAGATGAATATGTATAGGTTGAGTCACAGTGCAGGAATACTGCAGAGTGGCTAACAAACTTCTCAAACCAAGTAGTTGCAGATAAGAAAGTGCCTGCAGATTGCACGAGCTACCGACCAATTCGTCTGCTCTCCCACAGCATGAAATATTTGAGCGAATTGTAGATCGCCGTATTCGTGACATAGTCCAGCTTACCGTCAACCAGTGTGGCTTCGTGGCTGGCTGCAGCACCATCGATGCCATACACGCCGCTCGCCTTCTGCTAGAAAAACATCGTGAAGAAAAAGCCGGTGCATTTTGCCTTTCTAGACTTGGAGAAGGCTTTTGATCGCGTTCCACGTGAAGTTATATGGTATGCCTTACGACAACATGGCGTTCCCGAAGAGCTTATTGAGTGGGTTCGCATGCTCTACTCGAGCCCAAAGAGCCGAGTGCAAACGTCAGCAGGCACTTCGATGGATTTTCCCATCTCTGTCGGGGTACACCAAGGCTCTGCGCTATCCCCACTCCTTTTTGTTGTCGTCATGGATGCCATCTCACGAGATCTTCAGAAACCGGCTCCATGGACGCTTCTCTATGCTGATGACGTGATGCTCGCCTGCGAAGACAAAAACGTACTCGAACAACAAGCGCAAGCTGGTGCGTCGCCTAGCGATGTTCGGACTCAGGTTGAACGTTAGGAAGACTGAGTACCTGACAACCGACACGAGCGAGTGCGGTTCTATCAAAATAAATGGCATAGAGCTGACACGTACAACGACATTCAAGTACCTTGGATCAGCAATTGCGTATGATGGCAGTATGAGTACTGAGGTGAACTCGCGTGTGAGTGCGGCTTGGTCCAAGTGGCGTTCTATGACGGACATTTACTGTGATAAGAAAATAATATCGAACAGATGTGCTAAAGGACGCCCAATAAACGCTCGATTGGCTTGATACTCTGTATGTAATTAATTGGCCTTCCACCCCGATAAGGCATTCAATCGGAAAAAGTGGCGTTTAATATAATATAAATACGGTCCCGCCCCTAAGCGGGAT